CATCTTGCCAGGTAATGCATTGCCATTAATAATGGTTATACCATTGCTCACGCTGTCGGCTGGTAGCGTAGTAGTGGGGTGAGTTGGTGCCAGGATGGATGAGCCGTTAGATACCGTTGAGGCGTTTGAGACTGTTCGAGCCATGTCAACGGCGATCACTGGTTGAGACGATGTCTGGTGAGGTGTTGTCATCGAAGTCAATTTGGGTTGCTTATTGAGCACAAATTCGGGCCTAGGCTCGAAGAAATCGTCGTCACCGGGCCACTCGCTGATATCGCTTAACAAGTCCATGAGGTCCATAACAGTCGCGACATCCTCTCCTGCCGCGTGCACGCAGACTTCCAAGTCACTCCTAATCTGTCTTTTGCCTATTTGACCATCGCTCAGCGATACCTCGTACATATCCTCAAGTACCTTACGAGAAGGGCCATCGTCGGCTGTCGCATTCGATGGCAAGGCGGCCAGCGCGCCCTTGACAGCCGAATAGGCTGAACGATATACCGGTGAGTGTAGGTATTTGAGGAAGTATGTAGCGGGGTATGGTAGTAGATCCGCCAGGAAGGAGGATACAGAGGTGATGTTGTGCCATGCGTTGTTGGATGGTCCTGCGCGAGGAGGCGAGGCGGACCTACCCCTTGATGCAGAAGCAGATGCGGAGCGAGATTGTGCGGGAGTAGCTCGCCTTTGCATGGTGTCCACCAGGGGGATAACGGTCTTGTCCTTCTTCGCTTTCTTTTTGCTCGATGTACTGCCGATGGTCGAGCCTCTCGAGTGAGCTGACGATGGGGACAGTAGCAGAGCGTTCTCCATGTGAGGTGAGGACGGAATGACAGGGGTAGTGGATATGGAAGGTACACGCGAAGACGCTTGCGAAGCTGGTTTCGACTTCGACTTGGTTTTGGACTTCGAGCGAGCCTGCATTTTCGCGCTAATTTCTTCCCATGATTCCTTGTCTGTTCCGCTCTCTTCCCCGGGCCAGTGCCCTTGCGCCTCGACATCCCGTATCAGCTCAAAGGATAGCAGCTGGTCGATTGCAGCTTGAAGGGAGACTGAGGAGGCCAGAGCGGATTGTAATTCGCGCTCGGCACTGTAAGGTCGCTCAATAAGCATTAGGAGATGGTAGACGTGTAATACGTTGGGAAGAGCGGGCCGGAACGATATCAAGGAGATGTGTGGGTTCACTCACATGGCCGGGAAGAGCGTCCTGAGTAGTTCTAGCTCGTCCAAGAGTCCTACAGCATCGTCTTCCTCGGAGAAGGGACGGCGCTTCTCTGTGCCATCCTCTGCTGACCAAGCACTAGCACTCGCGCTGGTACTGGACGTTCCCGTTCCGGTTCCGGTGCCTTTCGTTCGTCCTCTGTTGATACTGTCATTCGAGTTGGTGGCCAGACTCTCAAGCTTGTTAGAGAGCTCGTCAATGCCGTTCCCGTTCATGGAGTCACTGGTGCTGTCTGTCCAGCTGGGATTGGGCGAATGGACCGTCATTCCATCGTCAGGATCAGGTACCATTGTAGCCTCGAGAATGCCTAGTTGATCTCTGATGGACGATTCTTCCGATGCTAGGCTTTCTGGCGGGTGATCGTTGACCATCGCTTCTATGAGTGCTGAGTCGACTAGCGGAAAGTCGGCCTACGCAACAGAGGATAAAAATACGGGGTTCATGTCAGCTAACTATCGAATCACAGCTGTCGTCTGACACTGGTTGGTTCTCTAGCTCACCGATAAGACAGCAGCGAGGACCGCTGGGTCCATGACCTGTTTCCGCCCATTTCCGCCCATGTTGAGCGAAGTTGATGCAGTGACGGGAGAGTAGATGAATGGGGCCTATCAGTGAGCGGCGATTGTATATGAGTATGGGATTCTGAGATTATCGCCCTCGTGTGTTGTGTTTATCGTTATTGTAGCTGGAAAGATCCGACCACCATTTCGTCATCCGATTTCAAGAAGACGGGTATTGATAACGCGAAAAGAAAAGCTTGAGGTCGTCAAAAGCGGTTGCACAAGGAACAAGCGACCGATGTTTGGAAAAAACGATAACAAGCCTGTTTGAGAAGCGCTGTAGTCGGAGGTCGGGTGTTTATTGAGAAGTACAGGATACGTTCTAGCAATATATATAGATGGATGCGATGAAATGGGGTCTGTTCTCGCCTTCTGTTCACACTTTTCGCTTTGTCTGGTCCTCGATGATCAACCTGAAACTGGCTCAATCCGTCGTCATATATATCGTAAACAGGCGCGTTCAGACGTCCAGCGGACATCTCCGCCTCCAGGGTAGCTAAATGCACCTGTCACGTGATACACGGTCTCCCCTAGCCACGTGTTGTAGATTTCCGCTCTGCAAAAAGTTGTCAGCCCCGTCGTATCAATGGTCCTCCTCAATTCTGGCGACTTATTGACAAATTATCATAAGTGAAAAGATCAGATATACACATCTAATCATCCAAAGCGGGCTTGATACTTCGTTTCGGTGAAGCATTACCCAGCCTCTGGACTCGAGACTGGACAGACTCTTATTATCAGCGATCTCCGAACAGAATCGACCGCCCAACATGCCCCGAGCGGCAAGACCCACGAAACAACGACATGATCCGCTTCATGTGCAACTAGATGCCGATGAGAGTTTGAGGAAGTTTGGAAGGCCCAGCAAACCTAGCAAGAAGAGAGCTTCGCAGAATGAGGACGACGATGAGCCGGTGTGTATTACTCCAAATTTCATCTCGACGTGGTCCATCTACTCTTCGTTCTGTTTGTCTCTGTCAACGTCCTTCCTCATATCGTCATGACTCCTCAGCTTCCGCACGTCTCCTAGGGAATGAGGGCTGATCATATGCTATGCTCGCCACCTCCTCAGCGAGCCGAAGATGCACGAATGTCCAAGAAGATTCTTGATCTGGCTCGAGAGCAACAGGAGGAGGTGAATAGGGAGATGGGCGGTGACGATGACTGGGAGGACGAGGATGAGGAAGCTGAGCCGTAAGTGTGCTGCGGCGCACACATCTAATCATGCAATAATCAGCTGCCGAGGACATTGCTTCCAAGGGCAGGGAACTGACGTCTCTTGTGCGAAATGGTCTAGCTCCAGACGGCCTCGAGAAATCGCCGAAATCGATTCTGACGAAGAGGGAGCAGAGGACTTTGATGAGGGAGATGTATCAGGGGAGGAGTATGCCGAGCTCGTGCGTTGTACTCTGCCCCGTATTCAGGGAATGCCTGTCAACATCATCATCACTGACATTGTTGTGTTTCCCCTTTCTAGGAGATCGACCCGGCAGACCATGCTACGCTCGATGCGCTCAATGCCAACGCAGGAGGACCTTCCGGTTCGGAAGCCGGACCGTCCACAGGAGGAGGCGAGGCAGGAGGTCAAACGTTGGCCGATATCATTTTCAGCAAGATGCAAGGAGGCGCGGTTAGCAAGGGGCTTGAGGATGAAGGTGAGCTCAGGCTCATTATGAGGCTGTTCGTCTATTTAAGGGAAATACGCTGATCGAATTGGCTGTTTGGTGTCATCAGACGAGGGACCACCCGATCCTAGAAAGGGTCTCAACCCCAAGGTCATCGAAGTATATACCAAGTATGTGCAAGATCTTCCCACTATCAGTTCACACCGCTCACCAAAACGCCTTCTCTTCTCATCCCTCTAGGGTCGGGTTCCTTCTCTCTCGATACAAATCAGGACCCCTCCCGAAAGCGCTCAAAATCCTCCCTTCATTACCTCACTGGGCTCAACTTCTGGCCCTGACAAAACCGACCGAATGGACCCCACATGCCACGTTCGCATGCACCAAGATCTTCGTATCCAACTTGAAGCCTACCGAAGTACGGGTCTTCCTCGAAGGTGTATTATTGGATCAGTGCAGGGAGAGCATGAGAATGAATAACGGGAAATTGAACGTGCATCTCTACGAGGCGTTGAAGAAGGGGCTGTATAAGCCCGCGGCGTTCTTCAAGGGTATTCTGTTCCCACTGTGTGAGGTAAGTCTGGCTAGCATTTGAGCGGTGTTTGCCATTCTCGATCTAGACTGAGCGTAAGGATTGGTTCTGATTGTTGGCGATCTAGACCGGCTGTTCGCTCAAAGAGGCCGCGATCGTCGCTTCGGTATTGTCAAAGGTCTCCGTACCAGTATTGCACTCGGCCGCTGCGTTGATGCGACTCGCCTCAATGGACTATTCAGGTAAGTCTCACCTACCTATCATGCTTCAGGTGAGATCACCCATGGCAGTCACTGACTCAGAGTTGTGTGCGCTCTTCGTGTCCATCAGGTCCTAACTCGCTGTTTATCCGAATCCTTCTTGACAAGAAGTACGCGCTGCCATACAAGGTAGTTGACGCCCTTGTCTTCCACTTCATCCGTTTGGCAAACTCGCAAAGAAGCCGTACTGGGGAAGACAAGTTGCCTGTCTTGTGGCATCAGAGTCTGTTGGTGTTTGTACAACGGTGAGTATCAGTCAATCTATCGCTTGGATGGACCGATGGACGGAGAACTGAAGATTCGATTATTTCCGTTTGTCCTTGGACGGTGATAGATACGGATCCGATCTTACGCCCGACCAGAAAGACGCGCTTCTCGATGTCATCAGATCACGACCTCACCCTACTATCTCATCGGAGATCAGACGTGAGATCCTCAATTCAGTTGAGCGAGGCGCACCTAGACCTGAAGATGGCGAGGACGTGATGATGCGATAGACAAGGCACACATTACATTACTTTTCGTAAGGCTGTGCCGGACGTCTTTCTCGACTGCTTGGTACTTTTCAGAGTACCTGGAGTGTGTATCAGATGCATATCCCTTGTGTATAGCTACCGCGTAACCCGCTCGAGCGCGATTCATCGATCGTTTCACGTCCAAAGGCAAGAGCGAGCAAGACTGATCGCTAAAAATAAACGACGAAAGTCGTTCAGCTGACGATCGGCGACGGTCTGTCGTCAAGGCTGCTCGACATGGAAGAGCTTGCTTGACCATATATAACGATCAGTCTGGCAGTGATACCCATCTACGGCCATAGAAACGAGAAAACGCCGAACCCCGTCCGCTCTTCGAAGCCTCAAGCTCGTTATCGCTCGGTTAGTACCATCGTGGGGGACCAGATGGGAATCCCGAGTGCTGTAGTTATTTTTGTCGCGCTTTCCTCCTTGCGAGCAAACAAGTGTGTTGATGGCTTCGTGCAAACAAGCAGAATACTTTCTGTTGGTGCTCTTTATGCAAGCAATAAGGACTTCATCCATGATCTTTGGCAAGAACGTCTAAGTTGACATGGTGTCATTATAGAACGCTTGGACCTACCCCTTTTATGAAGTGAACGTCACTAACTTATATCACTAGATCACCCTACAATCACGTGACGCGTCCCAAATAAATGATGACTTCGTAATTTACTTATTTACCATAGTTAGTAGTAAAGGTAAAGGTAGTAGACGCGTCTCTCATTCCTCACGATCACCACCCCTACAACACATACACTATACGCTACCAATATACCCAACCCATACCCTTCCCGAATCATATCTCTTCCCCCTTCTATTCCTTCTTTCAACCATACTACTAATCAACCACCATATCAAATCCACTCAAACGACACCTTCATATCCATCGCTCAACGCAGAAACGTCAACAAGATGCCTCGTAAGTATGCATCGTCCGACGTTGCCATCCCTATCTATATCCTTTTCCGAAGGTGGGCGGTGAACGCTGCGGTGAAGCGGGGGTGGTGGAGGTTGTTTACATTCCTCTCTTCCTTGTATGGGGACGCGTCCACCGCAGATACGGTACACCATGAAGCTATAGAAGCGATGTCCTTTCAGTCGATAGCGTGAGCTGACACGATACATACATGTGTCACCTGAATCGTCACAGCCAAGAAGAGTGAGTATTCCTGCTATGCATAAGAAGAAGCGGGATATGCATAATCACGATGCGTCGATCCGAGACACGACGAAACATAACATGGCGTCCAGCCACCCCACTCATCCACTCAACGCGTCGAAGTCGAAGAAGGCCGGTGACTTTCAAGGCTTAGTCCATGTTGCTGACCTATCTGACTCATTTCATCCTGATTTACTCCCTTTGCTCGTCTTTTCCGATCGTCTGCCCTTGCGCGAACCGTATACGTCTAACCTCTCACAGCCGAAGCTAAGAAGGGTGGTGCTAAGAAGCCCTCCGCATAGTGAGTGTGTTCCCTCCTTGTTCTGTATAGGCGTCCGCTTGGTCGCCTTGCCATCCAGACTTACCTCATCTATTGAAGTCGCGATACCACTTTGCGGGATCATGCCGTTCCTGCTGCTCGGGTTCTCTCCAGATCGAGCCATCTCGTCATCCTCGCTCTCGTCAGCCACCTGGCCTTTCTTTCGCACATTGCGCTTCCTCCTCTCTGCTATTCTGAGTTAGGCACGACTGCAAATTGCTTTGCTAATCTTTCTTCCCCCTCTCCACCTTCAGCAACGAGTTCATGAAGGTCCAACTCGCCAAGCTCAAGGCCGACCAGGAGAAGTCCGGCAAGAAGGCTGAGCACAAGGTGAGCTGCCCCTCCCCTTCTCCCTTTTTCTTCCCTGATATCAAACTGGGACTCGCTTGCAAGAAAGAGTCGGTCGCTGAATCCAGTCTGTCTGTCTGGTCACCTCGATCTCACAGGAAAACTTCAAGAAGGTCGCCGCTCTGTGGAAGACTGCGTAAGCTTACCATAACACGACTCTACTCCTGAGATACTAGAGGCTGACTAACCTACTTACCCGGCACCGTACAGTCCCGAGAACCCCGTTCGTACCCTTTCGTTTCGTTGCGGCCTTACAGACATCGTCTTCCGTCTCTATCGAGAACGCACGTACTGACGTTGCTTTGACTTGATCTCGCATCCGTCGCTTCTTCCCCTTCCATTCATCAACCCTTTTTCCTTCACACAATCTTCAACTCATCTCCATTTATCGATCGTTCGCTCGAGTAGAAGAACAAGTAATGTCTGGGTTGAGGCTTCTGGCACTAAACTTTTTCCGGGTCTTCCTGGTTCGAGGTTTGATATAGTTCATAAACGATCTGGAGATTCACCCCGTATATGTGTTGATTGTTGCCGAGCTGAGTGACGAAAGCCAGGAGTACATTTGAGGTGAAGGGAAAGGAGGAGGCAGGAGCTGCACTGTTGAAAGTTCCACATCGAACTTACCCGGGGCTGAGGTTGTATGTGCATAATAAAAATTTATTACACTGTATGCAATTTTCACCGTCATCGCAGTCGGAACTTGAAGATGAACAGAATTGGACAGCCTTGTAAGATAGATACACCCTTCACAGCGGCGCAAGTGTCACAGGGTGGTGCCAGTATAAGTACAGTGCTTTCGCGTCAACGGAGTATTGGCGGCGTCACAGTGTCCAGTCCGTGATTGGGGTCTAGCTCATGTCTACCACTGGACGTAGACGGGCCGTCAAAGTCGAAGTCCACTGCCGCCAATGTCAGTTATTGTTGTGATCTAGCTCATGATCCGCTCCGCTCCGCTTCGGCCATCTTGGGATAAAATTGGGGTCTCCAGGTGAAGGCTGCATGCATGACCAAGCGCGCTCCAGGGCCCCGTAACCTCCCCTCATTGTCAACCGATCATGTTGATTTGGTTGTACCGCGTGATGACTATCAAGGCGGCGGAAGCAAAGAGTGACGGCGTTCCGGTCCGTGGGATCAACCTATCCACCCGGAAGTGGATACCTCTTGAGGGTATCCACCTGACATCCACCAAACCGAGTGAGTGAACGTCTGTTTCTTCTTTGCATTCTTGCGACGCAAGCAAGCGATCACTTGGAGGAGAGGTTTCGATGAACCGCACCGCGCACCGCAGAATACCATGCTTTCGAGGAAAATATCTGGTATCTTTGTATGATCACAGCCTCGATCCGCCGTTTACCACGTCTTGCCTGATGAGCACCAAGTCTGACGTCTGGCTTCCTATCGTATCCCTCGACATCCTCTCGATATACCTCCGGATCGACCAATCTCGTCTCGAAGAGAAAAACCCTTGCCCCTGCCATCCTTGCTTGATTTTTCTGTCCCATTCTAGCTAGCCTCTGCTTCTCCTGATATGATTTTCCCCTCATTGATTATTGTTTAAGCATCTTCATTCCCTGTCCTGTCCTGTTGTTTTTATCTTATCGTTTCTCTAGCCAAGCGGACACCGGCATATCATTGCGATCGACCCATCTCGAAAATACCTTCGGACTACGTTGGGCGGCTTCGATCGACATACTATAGAGGCACAACCTCGAACTTCAAGCAGGACAAGTTGCACTGCCCTGTCATACGAGCACGATCCGAAGGCTGCGATCCAGCTTGAAATATTCCAGACCCGCTCCTGCCAACGAAATCGGAGAACGTGCGAAACGGATCAGCGAAGGGTTGAGAGGGAGTACAAACATACGAGAAACGGAGAGAACGTCCAGCAGCAGGAACCAGTGGACGGGGATCGTAGGATCACAGGAACAGACAGACACTTTAGAGGAAGTCAGCACAACCTGTCTCAATGCCATTCAAGTCAGGACCTAGAAAGGCCGAAAAGGACGAAAAGGGGGAGACGGTCTACGCTTGTCTCTGGGTCGGTAAGTGCCATTACCATCGAACGCTTCCTCTTGACCATTACCAGACGAGGAAGCTACGAAGCCATGCGGCTGATCGCTGACTGACGAGATGTATGTCGTTCAGGCTGTACCAAGACCTTTGGCACCGCGGGCCATGTGAGTATCGGTGATATTACCCTAACAGTCACACTCTCAGCGGGCCATGATCCGCCCTTGAGGACGATCGACTTCTCAGGCAGAGCACGTATATTGCACCAGCAAGCTGACCTAATACCCGTTGCTCAGGTGCGAAGACACGAGAAGACTCATGTAGGCACCACGCCATACGCATGCCCATATTGCGACAAGTCGTTCGGACGGAGCGATGTCCGCGCGAAGCACGTAACGACGATGCATCCAGAGGTAGCTGGATCGGGATTAGGGGGCAATCCCGGTGTTTACGATGGGCTAGGCGAGGAAGGCGATGAGGAACTTCCTCCTTCGTGAGTCTGCTATACGACACCACTTCATTCGATTGGATACAACGAGATCTCCGTGCTCGATGAGCTCTGTAGTATAGTTGATACTATGATGGACCTATCTCAAACACACATTGGCTTCACGCTGACACTTGAGAACGAACATGCGCGAACCTATAGCAAAGCAAGGAGATTTTCCATGACTGATGCGCCCGGTACAGTCTCACGTCGACTGTCTTCATCGTCCGACAATGCCCCTTATGCTCCCTTCATGTCAGGCCCACCAGCCAACGCTCCAATACCCGTCCACGCGCCTATTCCCCCCCTCCCACCGTCATCTTCCACCTCGGCACTTGATCATCTATGGTCTGCGCCACAACCGGCTCATCAACAGTCGCAGTCTCAGGTGCCTATGGCAGTACAAGGGCAAGCGCAAGGGCAAAGTAGCGGAGCAGCGGAGCTAGGGTTGACGCCTATGACGGCGGCGTTGAGTTCGCCAAGTATAAGTGTCAATATGGGTGGGCCGGCGGGCATGATGATGCCCCCGCCGGTGACGACGGGTACACCCTTCAGCGTGCCATCTGTTTCTTCCTCATCATCCGGGTTCATCGACCCAGCTCAACTCAGTGTAGGACCGTCAACATCGACCCTACCATCAGGTGAGTACGCAGCATAGGATATATCGATTGTCATGCTCACATCCAGAACTACCGTCTACTCCTGATAACGTAGATATGCTGGTAGGAACGATGGACGGAAATTCGGGTGACAGTGGGCTGCCCTTCGACCCAAGCTGGGAATGGTTCGGCCACGTTTTCGGTTGGGGGTCCGACGAAAACATCGACCTGGATATCGGCTTACAAAGCAGCATGTTCGAGAAAGGCGGTGTAGGGCCCGTGAGCTCGACAGATACGCTAAGCGCAGCTTGGCTGCTCTGCGCGACTCCGCGAGGAGGCAGTCCTGTCAATGGGGAGGAAGGGAAAGATCGGTATAACGGTGGTCCGCCTGGACAAGGGAATTTCAACGGCATGCCTGATCCGTTCGGGAGGACACACGATAATCCGTGGGTGAGCAGATGTTTTCGCCTCAACTACCCGTCCTGCA